GCGCTCGAGGCGGAAGTAGATGATGATTGTGAAGAAGCAGAGGAGGAGTTGTGGCCGGTCGTCGTCGTCGGCTTTGTGGATGAGGTGGAGGATGAGGAAGAGGAGGTTGCTGTAGAGGTGGAAGATGGAGTTGCTGCTGCTGCCGCTGCCGATGCACCGAGCGCAGAGTCTGGTGCAGCCGGCGTCAGAGTCGATGGGGAGTTTGGTCCCTTCTTTCCGCCCAGCTGTGGCTGCTGATGTGGCTGCAGCAGTCTCTTTTGTGGCTTGGTCTGTGGGGAGGAGTCACCATTGGACTTGCCGTTCGACCTAAAGTCACCGGACTTGTTCTTTCTATGATCGCCATCTAAAGAGTGCAAAGGTGGGTGTGTGTTAGAGTCATCACGTGACATGACATAATCATGATCAGCTGACGTGACCCGATTGCTCAACATACCTTTATCAGCCCTCAATCCATCTTTATCCTTCTTTGATGCGCCACGTACGCCAGACTCCTTGGGCTTCTCCTTCTTTCCGACCTCCTCCCAACGGCCAGAGGTCGCCGAGATGACACCCTCGACAATGTAAGTGATGGTCTTGTCGACATCAAAGCCGCACTCTTCGATGGCGCGACTGATGTCCTCCTCGGAGGTCCAGCCAGTGACCTCTCTGATCATCCTTATCTGCTCGAACGTGACTACGGGTCTGCGTGCGCCACTGCCACTGCCGCTGCTGCCGCTGCCATTGTCTTGCTTGGTGCCGATCAGTGGTGAGCCACCGGCTGGCGACGAGGCGCTCTGTGTCTTCTGTTTGGTCATCGATGGGCCGCCACCACTTGTGATCTTTGCGCCTCCATTGATCTTCTTTGTGTCAATTGCCACTTCTTTATTATCCTTTCCTTGAACCATTCTTGATTGATTGGATTGTATGTGTATATGTGTATATGTGTATGTGTATGTATGTATGTGTATTTAAATATATAATATAATTCTAATAAGTTGATCAAATAAAGATACTTTTTAAATGTATGTATCTCTCAACTTTATATTATATATAATAAATCTATATCTCTCTTCTTAACTCTTCTCACAACTTTGTTGTTATTATTATGTATATATGTATCACAAATATAAGTGTTCAGTCAGTACAACTAATTCAACACAACACAACAATTGAAACTTAATACAATGCAATGCAATGGGGTTGTTGATTGATCTGATTGATTGATTGATGTCTGTGTATATATATATATAAATATATTGATGTATGTGTGAGGGATGTGGTGTCTTGGTTTATGTGTGTGTATGTATGTATAAGTGTTGAGTAATTGAATGAAATGAATGAATGAAACGTGAATGTGAGTTGTCTCTGTCATTCATTCAGTCTGTCAGGTGTTGCCCAATGTGTGCATTCAACCTCAATAACGCCCAACTTCATTCATTTCATTCAGCACACTCGTAATAAAAAAACATGAACTTGTGACTTGGCAAAGTAACGAGCCTGGGGTCGATGATTCAAGATCGAGACCCTGCAGAACTGAGTTGTTGTGTGTCGTGTCACATGACTTGATCGACATCAAAGTGAGATTGAAAGTGGAACAACACAGTAATACCTTGTATTAATCAAACATAATATATATTTGTAAGTACTTCATGAACACGCATGCAAACTCGATCGGTTGGACCTGGCTACACTGGATGGTCACGTCATGTGATACCAATGTACATATTCGATTGTGTATTGATTGGGTAATGCCATTGGTTGGTATTATATGTATGTATGTTTTCTTGTTTGTTTGTAACTTTGACCATGCTTTCCATAGATAGCTAGGGTCATGTGACCTCATTGCCCATTTAATGTGTGTTGTGTGTATATGAATGTCATCTTGAATGAGATGGTTGTCAATCAATCAATCAAACAATCATTCAAGTCACACACTTATTCACACACACATACACACTCACACACACACACAACACTAACTTAATCAATTAATCAATCATCCAACAACAACAAAGGCCATCCTGAGGTTATTTGAATTCAAAATTTTAAAAGGAGTGGTGGTCATTGACAGAACTTTAATTATTTGAACAGTCGGGAGAGGTCAACAACAGGGCAAGGATAGGGGGTGATCTGGTGGGGCCGGGTCCATCATTGCCCCACTACCACACTCTGTGATTACAACGGTGTTAACAATAACACAATGATAATAATAATTGTTTGTTTGATTGTTTGTTGCTTATTCAATGAACACAACATAGACCTCTTAATGCCTTGAGCTAGCTGCACTCCCTCTCATTCAACATACTTGCCTTCTGATCAATCAGTTAGTTATTCCAACTTTACAAATCATTCTATCAATCAAACATCATCATCACATCGTTGTAAATATAATATAATATTATTTGTTGTACATATACTCAATCACTCACTCACTCAATCAATCATTCAATCATTTATTATTCAAACAATCCATAACGTTCCAATCACAAACCAATAATAATAAATATTAATAATAAATAATAATGTCCACAGAGGTTGCTGCCAATACTACAACAACAACCACAACAGAGGTTGTCAATATCAAGGACAAGAACATCTTTGGAACAGTCGAGGTTAAGAGTAAGTCTCAATCCATGTATTCTGGAAATGTTTCCAAACTAACACACTTGGAACATCATCACTTTAGTCAAAGAAGTAAGAGGATGCTCCACTCACTTCATATTGGCCAAGTGTGAGCTGGCTCAAAAGAAGTCAGAGGTCAAGACCAAGCCACTCTCCAATCATACCTTTGTCGATGTCTTTGACTTGTAAGTTTGTTGACAAAACACGGCAACAGGCTGTTGCCACGGCGGGCCACACACTCACTCATTCATCAAACATACTTTTAGCCGTGTATCATCTGCAAACAGTGAACTTGAGATTGAAGGATGGAGAAAGAACTTGTTCTTCAAGGATAAGATCACTGGCGCCGTCAAATTGACTATAAATGACTTGTTGACAGCACAGGGCGAGGCCAAATGGTATCCATTCGTCTCTGGAAAGAAGCGTCGCGCTCCAAGAAACCAAGGTCCAGTCGTTGGCACACCTGCTGAGGAGACAACCAGACCCGATGAGAACGCCGACGAGAAGGAGTCGTCGTCCGAGAGCGAGAACGAGAAGGGTGAGGGTGAGGCCGAGGCCGACGCACCAAAGCCACGCAAGGGAAAGAAGGTCAAGGTGCCACCCGAGATCTGCTTGGAGATCAAGTTCACAAAGAACGAGCCACCCAAGGAGGTGCTCAAGGGCTTGATCCTGGACGGTGTATGGACCACCGAGAACAGCGTTGGCAGTCTCACCAACAACCCGCACTGGATCAAGTGCACACAGTACCTACTCACGGTCAAGAACGAAGACACGTCGCTGATGATCAAGCTGCGTCAGCCTGAGGGTGCCGACCAGCGCGTCAGCTTCTTTGTCATCAACTACGACAGCGCCTTCTACAATGGCAGCAGAAAAGTCATCCTCGACACGTCCAACGACTTCAAGAAGGTCGACAACTTTATCTGCCCTATCGCCGCCACAGCCGTCGACTGCAAGATCGAGCTTGAGGCCGGCCAGTACATCATCATCCCCTATGCCGAGAGCTTTGGCTTCACTGGCAAGTACAAGCTCAACGTTGACTCTGCCAAGCTATCGAACCTCGAGCTCTACCCCTTGCCAAAGGACCCAAGCTGCCAGTGGAAGGAGATCGTCATCAACGATCTGTGGACCAGCACCACAAACGGAGGCTCAGACATCACCCTCCTCCATTGGACCAAGAGTCCACAGTACGCCATCACTCTGACCAAGCGCGCACGTGCTTGTGTGCTCCTGTCACAGGACGACCACGAGAAGAGTATCGGTTTCTACGTGATGCGCCAGCAACACGATGTCGGCAAGCGTCTTGTTGAGTTCAGAGGCCAGGTGGGCAAGACCGACAACTTCAAGCCATCGTGCCAGAACGGCACCACCATGACGCTGGACGCCGGTCACTATGTCGTGATCCCATCCACTTTCGACCAGGCACTGGAGGGTGCCTTCCACATCACACTGTTCACTGACGACCAGGAGGCCACATTCTCGCCAATCGCTGGCCAATGGAAGGAGAACAAGCTCGTCAAGGGCACCTGGGTCGGCAAGACCGCCGGAGGCAGTCCCAACTGCGGCGCCTCCTTCTTTGACAACCCACAGTACAAGATCAAGCTGCCCAAGGATCGCAGCCAGGACGTTGCATTCGTTGTACAGCTCATCCAGGATTCAACACTGGCCGACGAGAGCATTGGCTTCATCGTGATCACACGTGACGATCATGAGAAGCGTTGCGAGGCGCTCACTTTCCAGAACGAGGACCTGTTTGCCAAGACACCAAACTGGGAGCGCAGGAACGACAATGCTTGCCGCATCGTCGTCAAGCCCGACCATCCACACGAGTTCACCCTGATCCCATCCACCTTTGACAAGGGCGTCAACAGATCCTACAGACTGCAGTTCTTCAGTGACATCAACATCGAGGTTGACGAGTTCGAGCCTGTCGAGGAGGATTCATCATCGGACGAGGAGTAGAGTAGAATAGAATAGAATAAACAAAACAAACGCCTTCAAAAATCCCCCTCACCGTTGAGCTTTTGACACGGAAACTGAGTTACCACAGAGTGTGGCCGCATTAAATTTAATGCGGCCAATGAATGAAACAGAATATTTACATTTGGAATGATAAATTTCTTTATTAATATATTATTATATATATTCTATATTTATACTATATATTAGACAGGTAAATGTTAGATGATTGGGTTGAGATTGGAAGTGTGTCCATTGTCAAGGAAGTATGTTGTTGTGTTGAGATTGGAGTAGGGAGTGGAGGCAAGCTTGGGCGAGTCTCCGTAGTATAGTGTAAAAGTTTGGAATTGGATTGGAATGGTATGAGTGTTGGAGCTGTGCTGTCCAGCCACGTTGGTGCTGAGTGTTGGGAGGTTGGGGTTGATAATGTTGCCGACAGTGTTATGGGGCATCAGACGGTTCCTTCTCTCCTTGCGCTGACGAAGTCCACAAGCATTGCAGACGTCTTGACCGTTCTCACCCTTTCGCCACTCTGGCGTGTTGGTCGTCTTGCACAGGAAACAGTATCCCACACGCTTGGACTTTGGACGTCCGATAGGGTTCTTGGGCACCTTCTTGATTGGGTACAGCTCAATGATTGTGTTGTCATTTATTATGGAGTGGTGGTGGAGGTGGAGTGTTGTGGCGGCCGCTGGAATGGGAATGGACACGACCTGGGACATGTGTGACACACCCGCGGATTGCGTGTTCGACATGTTGGAGTAGTCCTTAACTGAAGACACAGGAGTGAAAGTCATTTTGTAACGGAAGAAGTAGGTTGGTTGGTGTATCAATTTAAGTTACACTTGTGAATTAAAAAAAAACTATAATATAATAAGAATAATAATTAATTAATTAATTAATATATTGTTGGATAAGATATGATATATATCTTATTGATATATATTGATATTGATTGTTATCTATTATTATTTGGAGTTGACGATTCATTAATGTAATCCAAGAATAAACAAACAACAGGTTGTTGTCGACAGCGTATATATAGTTGGAATGATTGAACTCATCGTTTGGAATCATTGGCGCGATTAGTTGATCCCAACATATTCCTTTTAAGTCTAAATCTTTAGATCACATGAGAATGTTCCATCATCCCAATTAGTATTTATGAAAATAAGCAACGGTCACTCTCCATATTAATATTAATGAATATCTTTGCAAGATGTAAACGAGGAATTCAATGATGATGTGGTTGAGTTGTGGGGGTTGTGGTGTGGTGTTGGGGTGTTGGGGTGAGGCCAGCCTAAGCCTCGGACTCGTTCGGCAAACACAAACACCCCACACACCCCACACACAGACTACAATGGACATGTCCAAGCAGTTTGACAATCTTTGACAATGTGTTTGTGGGGGTCGGGCAATCTTGAAACAGCAATGAGTCTTGGATGAGGCCCACAGATGTGAGGTTGGCAGCCTCAAACAACACTAAAGCGTCCTTTGGGCGCGTCCATGAAGAGATCCTTCCTCATACGGCCATGGAACTAACATAAACTGTAGAATTCCATTTGCAAATGTGTAATGCCACATGTGCCACACGACCGGCCGGCCAGTCTGCCAGGCCCAGCCATGCCAGGCTACACAACCACACACACGACCGGTGCAATTCAGGGAAGTTGTAGGCTGAAGTATATTGGAGTGTTATTGCTGTCGAACGTTCGTACCTCCACCTCGGGGTGGGTTGGCACCTCCACCTTGAAGCAGCGGGTGGACAGTGTCTTCGATAAACTTCAACAATTGCGAGTAGCCTTGACTATATTAGTGTGTTTGGAAGTGGAACACGTTCAAAGTGGACAGACGGGGTGTGTGGATAGGGGAGGGGCGAGCCGGGACCATGGTGCGTGAGTGGCGGTGGGCGGTTAGTTATGATGTGCACATATAAGATAAGATGGGAAATGTCATCCAAATCGATCAGACATACGGTTTCTGGTGAGATAGCATCTTGCAGTAGTTCTCGTAGATGTTTGGGATCTTCCTCAATATCTTTGTTATTAACGCCGGATTGAGCAGCACTGTGCCAATGACCAGCACCCACTCATGGCATGCGGCGTTGGTAAGTTCTTGTAATAGGAAACTGGTAAATGAATTAGTGAAGGTGAGTGAGTGAATGGTTGTGATTGGCGGGTGGTCAGTGATCATATATATATGTGCTTGACTTGACTTGGGTCAAAGGCTCGCGTGCGCCTCGCCGCGACAAGACATCATCACTTACTACAAATCGTCCATGGATGAGTCTATGCTGTCTTGGAGGAACGAAGGATCGTTGACATCAAAGTTGGTGGCGGACGGGGCAATCATGAACTGATGTGACTTGAACGAGTATATGGCCGCACTCAATGCAGAGTTGCCACCACTGACCATGTTGGCCAGGTTGCTGATGGACTCGGAGCTGCTGCTGCTGACGAGCGGATGGTCACTTGACGTCATATGAATACGAGACTTGAGCGATTCAATCATCTCGTAGCGAGATATTGATTCCTCTCCCTCCAGGTTGAGCTCGCCAATCATCTGGTCCATGCCATTGCTACTCCTCATGCTGTTGCTGTTGCTGTTGGAAATGCCCATGGGCGCGACCACGGTTGAGCTGCTCGCCAGCACATTGTCCTGAGAGGACGTCGATGATGTGGGCGAGGGCAGCGTCGTCGAGATGCCCGTCAGGATGGCAGCAGGCGAGAATGGCGGGATGTCGTCCACTGGCGCGCTGATATAAAACTGTACATGTATCGCGTTCAGGGCCATGTCCAGCTCCTCCGCGGTTCTGAGAATAGTGGACTTCTTTTCGGTCGCCAGCAACTGAGTGATTGGCGTGCCAACCTTGCGTGAGAACAGCAAGAAGTTTCGCAGTAGTTTGTTCTTTAGCAGTTTGGATGCATATGAGCTGATGATAAAGTCCACTTGCTGTCGTTCAATCGCACGTTGTTTCTCTCGCTGTTGCGTCTGCTGCAGTCTCTGTTGTGGTGTCAATGCCGTAGTCTTGGGGACTTTGTTGTTGTCATCGTTGACATCGTGTTGTTGCTCCTCTTCCTCGTCCTCCTCTGGCTCCATGAAGCGAACCAAGTCACCAGCCAAATCCATATTGTCAAAGTCCAACACAATCTCCAACATCTCAATGGCGCACTTCCTGCTGAACTCATTGCTCTCCAACACCTGCAAGATCTTCAAGTATGACGCCGCGATCTCAATCTTACCGCCAGCCAAGCATTTCTGTGTTCATGCCCATGTGAGTGTTTGTTAGGATGGAATGACCACTCTCTATTCGTGCATCAAATAACATACCTGGTAGAGAGCGACTGGGTCGCCGATGTAGTTGAAGAGGTGCTTCCAGAGGGACGCGTCGATCTTTCGGGCGCATCGCATGGACACCTCGGGGAACTGAGGGAATCGTTGAAGGAAGTTGACGACATACTCTAGCTTGGTCGATCGCTTGATGTCGTTCTCTGAGATGGTCTCGTGCAGCAACAGCTCGAGTGAGTGAGTAAAGTGTGGGATGGTGTAGAACTTGGAGCTCAGACTCCAGGCCTTCTCGGCACCGCCACGCTCCAACAGATGCTTGAGGATCGAATGCAGGAAGGGATGAGTCTTGATGTGTATGTCGTAGCAGGGGTATTGCGAGCAGGAGTTGTAGGAGATGCCCTGTGATAGGCCCACGATGACGCCCAGCTCGCTCAAGAAGCCAATGGGATAGACCTCGTTGTCAAATGACAGCGAGCGATTGTGATGCAGGACACGAGATGCGTGGATCTCTTCGCTGGAGAATGGAAACCATACTTGGATGCCATTGAGGCCGTAGCCCCATAGTGTGTTGCCAATGATGTCGCGCTCGCGATAAATGTTTGTGAACCAGTATTGCTCGACGTTCTGTGACAGCTCAATCTGTGCGGCGTTCTCTGCGTTGGACAGCACCAGCCGTCCACTGGTGTGAAGGATGAGGCAGTAGACGTGGCTGCTGGCCGACCGCAGCGATGCACTGCGCGGTGATGTTGGTGTCGTTGTTGATTGAGTGGCAGGGTTTTTTGTTGGCACCTGAATGGGCGGCAGCAGTGAGATTGAGAGGGGTGGTGAGGGGATAGCCATGGACAGCACGTGGATGATGGTCATGTCGAGTGACGATGGGCTGTGCTGCTCAGAGATACGGTACAGGTAAAAGAACGACTCGCTTGTGAGCAGGGCGAGATGTGCGTCATTGCAATCGATGAGCAATGGTGTCTGATTGCCAGGGATGCCGCCCTTGTAGTGAAGGCTCGTCTGGTCAAGATGTTGCTTTGGGTATACAAGGAACTCGTGTCGCTTGCCATTGTCTATGTGTACCTGGTTCGCAATGATGATTGTGTGCTTGTACCATGTCAGGCCCAAACTCTCGATCTCCTGCTCCTGAGTGCGATCGCCAAACATCTTCCATCGCTTCGACAGTGAGTTGTACAAAATGACGCCCTTCCTGCCCGCGACAGCCAGTTGTGAACGGTCGCGAGACAGGGCAATATGTTTGATTGGCCAGTTGTCATTGAGGTAGATCGAGGGGATCTGAAGATGCTTCCATCTGATGTCACCCAGCTCCTTGCCCTTGTAGTTCAACAGCATGAGACGGTCCTCCGTCTGCAGTATGATTCGCTCCGAGTAGTTGAGGTTGGGATTGGCCGACAGGCTGGCCTTGAGGAATGTGAGCTGCAGGAACTCACCCGGCTCGTTGCCACTCGACAGCAATATCAGATGGTAGCCCTCGGGCCCCCAGCTGAATGACAGCACGCCCTCGCGACATGGCTCGGCGAAGCGACTGGCACCATCATGCATCTGCGGGATTGTGCATGTCAGCTTGCACCCATAGACGGACCAGATGCACAGACCTCTGTTGCGCCATCCGACGGCGAGACAGTTGCCGTCGGACGTCCAACTCATCTTTGAGATCGGTCCGATCTCATCGGGCGTGACCTCGCGGAACTGGAACAGCGAGAATGTTCGCAGTAGCTGGCAGTCCTGTGGTTCGTGTTGCTTTGCGCCATTGGTTGTGCCATCGCCCGATGCGGGATCGACCACAGCCGGGGCGGGCATTCTATATATCTCCACCTGTCCGTTGGACAGTCCGACAGCGACCAGTCGATGCTTGGCATTGAGCGCGACTGCCACACTGTTGCGCTTGGACAGCCAGTATCCCCTGAGCCTGTCTTTGCTGCGCTTCTTGAGAATGGCCGACGCGCCCCCCTCAAAAACCAGGCCAAACGTCGGGAAGGCCGAGGTGTAGTGCACCGACGCCACGATCAAATGTGCCTTGGGCAGAGTGTTGCCGCCTGTGGCTGGGTTGGTTGGGTCGTCGTCGAAAGGTACGATGTCCAGGGAGAACTGACTGATGAGCTCGCCCGTCCATGATGATCGCACGAGGTATCCCTCGCGAGTGAATATAAATATGTACTCCGCATTGCCAGTGATGCAGATTGCGCCCAGTGTGCTAGGCTTGAACGATGAAGAGAACTTGATAGCCACACGACGTTTGTCCAATGATGTATTGTGATGATGATCGCGGAATCTAAGTTGCATCACATCAACATAGTCCCTTTCTATAATATATACCAATATGTATCCCAATGAAGTCTGTTTGTTTGTTTGATTGTTTGATGATGTCAATCATTCATTCATTCAATCATTCAATCTGAGTATGTAGTACTTGTTACTTACGACAATTGCAATGGCAGATGAATCGGGACACCATGTTAGTCGCTCATTCCTTCCAAACTTGTTGATAGAGTCTTCAGAGCGAATGATGTAACCAAGATGAACGCGATGTTGGTCACCGCTCCAAACACTGAGTGCAGTGGCAGACAACAATGCCAAGAGTGTACCATCAACATTATGAGCAACATCCACAAACGTATCGCCAATGCCACTGGCATAAGTCTTTGGCCATCCAAATGCAAAGTACATCTTCTTCCTTCTTTGCTTTGACTTTGACTTGACTAGACTACGCTCCCTGACTCGATCAATCAATCAATCGGATGATTGTATATATAGTATGTATATATGTATGTATATATATATATATATGTAATTGATCAACAATCGAATGTAGAGAGAGATACTTCAAAAGGTTGTGTCTTTTCGAGAGATGAGCAAGGGTTGAGGGTTGAATGAAGTGTAGTGGGACCTGAACTTCCAGATCTTGAAGTTCAAATATAGTCAAGGTGTGGTTAACCGTCACAAACAACCACTCACCAACCCACTTTAATTGAATTCTTTTTTTTATTTTTAATTTCAATTGTTATGGTGTGAGTGGTAGTTTCAAACTAACAAACAAACAACATCCTTCCAGCCAACATCCAACAAACAAATCGCCAAACACTCACATAAAAAAAAAACAAATTTGGAGAGAACGAGCTTGTTGTTACGACTTCTCACTCCTCTCTCACACAACAAACCAACCTCACGCACAACTCAACGCAACTCCAACTCTCTCCACACAACACAGCAGCATCTCGCATTGAATTGCGACTTGGCGTAATTTTGAACATACTCATTAAATACCTTTGTAAATATTATTGTACTCTGAACATCAAATAAGAGCAACATTCACCTTCTTCACTCTCTGCGCTACACATTGGTGCGCAACACATTATTAATATAGGATAGTTTAAATTTATATATATATTTTAGAGAGAAAGAGTCTTGTATTTATTTTTAAATTTATATAGATATAAATATAGAGAGTAAAGGACATTCACATTGCTGCTTGGCAGCTACAGCCATTCATGTAGGTAGTCGCGACTCATTGGCGCAACAGCGCCAACAACATCCAATCTTGTGCGACGCGAGAGAAAGTTGTTGAGGAGTGTGTGCAATGTTGTTGGTTGGGAAAAAATTGGAAATTTTCAAAATGACTGTAACGTTACACATGATGATGGAGTTTGATCACTCACACACACCACACACTTTGCAAACTCAGACAAAAACACAATCACTTCCAAACTTGGCAATCCAAACAAGACGTAGGACGACGACGACTACAAGACCTTGGATCGCGACGCGACGCCATCCATCCATCAGGCGACCCGACCTTGAAGAATGAGTTTACGAAGACATTCGTCCGCATCCAACGCGACGACACAGGACTCGCTGCAGTCTAGACAGGTCTCTCGAATCTCATTCAGACCACGTCCGATCGATGTCGCCAAGCCACTGCCAATCGTCTGGACAGAGATAGAGGATGACGAGACACAGCGATCCGTGCCCATCATGCCCACGGGCATGGAGAGCAATGAGGAGAGCGAGCTGCACATCCAGGAGATCATCCAGGCGTCGATGAAGATGCGCCACGAGGACCTGCCCGAGATCCCCATTCCCGTCGTCAAGGTGGTCGACGGCTACGACACGGCGGAGAACCCCCACCCCTACCACATGGGATCGACCTATGTGCTGTACAAGATGCTCAACGACGACGAGCTCAACCTCACCACCGAATACGACTTGGACAGCGACGACGAGCACTTTGTCAGCACACTGAATCAGGGCGCGGGCGCCTCGGAAACAAATGCCGCCGCCAACAAGCGCGGCCATGCGGCCAACTCCGCGCTCACACTTGACCGCTTCGAGACCATCATTGATAAGTTCGAGAAGGAGTTGTACAACCATGGTCAATGCGACGTTGCCAAAGCCGAACAGATATGCAAGGGAATGAAGCCAAATGTCGCGCAGGCATTGCACACCTATTGGATGGAGAAGCGCAAGACCCGCTCCACACTGATACGCAGGCTTCTGCGGCCTCCCGACCGTGAGGATCCATCACCTTACAAGGCGTTCCGCCCACGCGAGGTCGAGCTGAAGCAGAAGAAGGCCAGGAAGAACGACCAGGCCTCTTTCAACAAGATGAACACATTGCGCCAGGAGTTTGAGCGCGCCAGGACCCTGCTGGAGATGCTAAAGAAGCGTGAGAGGCTCAAGAAGGATCACTTTGCCGTCGTCCAACAGATATACAGCAAGCTGCGAGAGCTGGCCCAGGTCAAGCTGCTCGAGCCTGAGGAGAACCTCGTGTCGTCACCGCCGACGCAGCCTCGCAAGAAGAAGGATCGTGCCACCGCCGAGGACCGCGAGGCAGCCGAAGCTGAGGAGACCAGCAGCGTCGTGGTCGGTCTGCCGCACAACTATCCCGGTCCAGTGTTTGTAAATAAGGAGCAGCAGCCACTGATCATTGGCAACGGCAAGGCACGCCAGGAGGGCTACCGACACTTTATATGCAAGCCCGGCCAGTTCCCCTCTCCCACTCTGGAGAAGATCTACTCTAACGAGATGAACTCGTCGCCCTCGATCAAGACTGAGTCAATGGATGAGCTGGACCGCATGGAATCAGAGCAGTCATCGCACGACCGCCTGGAGCAACAACTGATACGCGAGAAAGAGGAGGCGGCGGCACGCTACTACAACTCAATGGCGGTGCCCACGTCGTCCGAGTACTACGCCGACGACGAAGACGACGAGGGGAGTAGTGACGAGCAGGTGGTCAGCAATGCAAACGGCCGCACCACCATCCGCGTACAGAGGTCCGCTCGCTACCAGCCATCGCTCAACGGTGGCAAGCGTCCGCCAGTCAACGTCAACCCATATAGCAGCGCACACTACTCGCTGCAGCTGCAGCCCAAGATGGATGGCCAGGGCAAGCCGATCTACCCATCCGTCAACAACGGATGTCTGTTCATCGGACCCAACCTGCCGCCAGTGTTTGGACGCGCACGCGTCGGCCTCTACGGTGCCACATACATCGACATAGTCCCTGTGGACAAGGAGCTCAGGATCAAGTACCTGAAGCAACAGAAGCAACTGCAAGAGCAACAAGAACAGCAACGACAACAACATTTACAACAACATAGACAGCAACTCCAACAACAACAACAACAAGTTGGACAACATGGAAACGACAACAGCGGCAGTGGCGGCAACATTAGCAGTAGCAATATCAATAGTAATAGCAAAGATAGTAATAACATTACACAATCATCACCTTCCACCTCAACCTCATCCACATCCAACAATGCATCCCAATCACAATCACAAACACAAACACAATCAATCATCGATATCGATATCGTCAATCCACCAACATCATCTTCAGACTTACCACAAGCATCAGCACCAGCACCAGCACATCATTCACAGGCCAAGGACACATCGAGCAACAACAATATCCCGATGATCAATGTGGACATAATGCCATCATCGACGATCCACGCTTCCCAATCACCTTCACCCAACACCCCATCCACGCACACCGTTCTGGACTCTGACCGAACACCAAACCAAGCGCACAAACGCAAGACGGAGCAGCACGGCGATGTTACCCAGTCGTCCTATGCAGACTGCAACACCAGCTTTGACAAGATGACAAAGTATGTCGAGGACGAGGTCCAAAGGAGTGCGCCAAACACGACACTAACTCGCTCCAATCAATCAATCAACTTCTCCAGGATAACAGACTACAACAACTTCATTACAAAGAACCCACAGGCCAATGGACACCAGGCCGGCAGCAGCAGTTTTGGACACGGAGGCGATAGCTCTGTCCAACAACACAATGGCGGTGACGGCGGTGGTGTTGTGGCACACACTACACCTTCCAGCGTGACACTGTCCTCGCCACTCTCACAGAAGAAACTAAAGACAACGCATGGCACACCAAACAACAAGCATAGTAGCAACAACAACAAGAAACATACCAAGTCGCCATCATCATCATCTACATTCCAGATCGACCAGTACCTCACCAAGAAAGTGCACACCACTCCAACCATCATGTAAAGATATATTATACCTCCTCTTCCTCTTCCTTCTTTCCTGTTGCGTTACCGATTTGTTGGCAACGCTACAAAGGCACTTTGCCGCGCCTACTACTGTTACATTAAACATACAAGGGCACAGTATACCTTGCGCGCCAATCAAACATTTGGCGACATAACACATCTTTATCTCTTTATCCATCCATTCATTCATTGCAATTGAGAGGTGGTCTCTAAATTGAAACAGATATTTTGATTGATTGTGTGTGGTGACTGTTGATTGATTGATTGAATGGTGTGGTGTGTGGGTGAGATCATGTGATCACTCACTTAGTACCATTTGGCCCAACAGTCCATTTGCCTAGCTGGCGGAAAGACAGATAGACCAGTGCAATGCCACTATGTGCCTCTATTAATTAGGATATTTCAAATTGAACATGGTTGTAGAATGAATGAGTGGATGGTCTCAAGAGAAGTCACTCAATTTAATTTAATCGAAATTGATAACTACGTTACATAAAGGAAAGTTGCGTTCAAGAGATATTAATTAACTTAAGTTAATATTGCCCATTTAATTAATCTTAATGTTGTTTGTTGATGAGTCCTTCCAACTTTGATTCTCAACTGTACACCTCTTCTTCTTTCCTCTCACCTCCCCTCACCTCATCCATTTAATAACAACAACCTTGTATTCTTTCCATTTCTCATTCCAATCCAATAACTAACCAACATATATACATTTATAACTTTATACAAATAACATACTCTAATATAACAACATGGCTAAGTTTGATCCATCTGTATGTATAAATATACCATCATCAATTATAAAATAGTTGATATCTAACTCATTGTTTGACAAACTAAATAATATTAGTTGATCCCTTTGTTCATCATCCTTGGAACTGCTGGAGCATTCACAGTTGGTTTTGGATACAGGAAGATGACCACCGACAATGATATTAGGTATGTTCTATCTCCATCCATCAATCCATTCAATAATACATTCCTAACAATACCACTTTCACTTCTTCATCTTATACTTCTCCTTAACTTTACAATTGTTATAGTGTAACCAGAAAGGGACAGATGCTCTGGGCCAGCTTTGACAACCCCAAGCTGATCGAAAGGAAAACATCGACTGGCTTCTACAACCAGATTGACAAGGGACTCTACCTTCGCAAGTAATCAGTCAATCAATCAAATATTTGATTGGATGATCAATCTATTCTTGTTACAATATCACCAATGGTCATTATCCATTAAATGTAATATAAATATAAAATATAAATTATAAACCTTCCTTCAATGATGATAGGTTTACCCTATAGTCCTTCTTTGGTAGATTGATTTGATTGATTGATTGGAGTTGAGTGGAGTGAGTTGGTTGCGACGAATAGTCACATGTGATATTTTATGGGGACATGATCATGTACTACTTCCCGTGAGGATGAGATAACCAATCCTTTGGTTCAAACGACAAAGTCAAGGTGAGTGGGAGGACCGTTAGTATAAGTAATTCCTCTAAATTTAACAGATATATATAGATCCCTCATCTACAAATAAGGTAATGGTACCACTTTATATATCTTTGAATAACAATGTTGTTGTCCAGATTCATACACTCTTGATTAATGGAGGATAGACGACTCTTTAATTAAATTTTATTCAATTTTATGTTTGAAAAGAGAGAAAAAACGAAGGTTTGACTTGATCCTCATCAATCATCATTCACACAACTTTCAACTTTGAAAGTGGATAAAAGGGTTGTCTAGTGCACAACACAAACAAACATATATACTTATACATATATAATTATATAGTTATAACAAACTATAAATGGCACCTAAAGATAAGAAAAAGGGAAAGGGTCAACAGTTTGATGACGATGATGACATTGTCGATAACATCCCACAACCAGATAAGAAGCAAGCAAAGCAACAGCCACAGAAGAAGGGAGGAAAGAAGAATAGAGGTGATGACAGTGATGAAGAGCTGGAAAAGAAGCCTGTAGCTGCACCAGCACCAGTACAAAATAATAAGAAGAAAGGTGGCAAGCAGCAACAACACGACGATGATGATGATGCCGTCGAAGAGATAGCCCTGCCACAACCAGCAAAGAAGGGTGGCAAGAATGATAAGAAGAAGGGTGGAAAGCAGCAGCATGACGACGATGATGATATCGAGGACAACATCCCACAGCCAGCAAAGAAGGGTGGCAAGAATGACAAGAAGAAGGGCGGTGCCAAGCATGCCGAGTCTGATGAGGACGACGTCGAGGACCTCCCACAGCCAGTCAAGAAAGGTGGCAAGAATGACAAGAAGAAGGGTGGCAAGCATATCGAGTCAGACGAGGACGACGTCGAGGACATCCCACAGCCAGTCAAGAAGGGCGGCGCAGCCAAGAACGACAAGAAGAAGGGCGGCGCAGGTAAACAACAGGTCGATGATGATGATGAGGACGACGTCGAGGATATCCCAAAACCAGTCAAGAAGGGAGGCGCTGCCAAGAAGGACAAGAAGAAGGGCGGCAAGCATGTCGAGTCAGATGAGGAGGAAGAGGAGGTAGAGGACATCCCACAACCAGTCAAGAAGGGAGGCGCCGCCAAGAAGGACAAGAAGAAGGGTGGCAAGCAACAGATCGATGATGATGACGAAGAGGAGGAGGTAGAGGACATCCCACAGCCAGTCAAGAAGGGAGGCGCCGCCAAGAAGGACAAGAAGAAGGGTGGAAAGCATGTGGATGACGACGAAGATGAAGAGGAGGTCGAGGACATCCCACAGCCAGTCAAGAAGGGCGGCAAGAGCGACAAGAAGAAGGGTGGAAAGCACATCGAGGAGGACGACGAGGAGGAGGAGGTCGAGGACATTCCACAGCCCGCCAAGAAGGGTGGCAAGAAGGACAAGAAAAAGGGTGCTGCTGCCAAGCACGTCGAGGAGGAGGAAGAGGAGGAGGAGGTCGAGGATATCCCACAACCAGTCAAGAAGACCTCCAAGAAGGACAAGAAGAAGGGCAGCAAGCATGCCCAAGAGGAAGATGAGGATGAGGTCGAAGATGAGGAGGAGATCCCGCAGCCAGTCATGAAGGTCTCCAAGAAGGACAAGAAGAAGGGCAGCAAGCACGCTCACGACGATGACGAGGAGGATGAGGAAGAGGAAGTCACCAAGAAGATGTCCAACCTCTCAGTTAAAGGAAAGAAGGGCAAGGGCAAGTCCAAGCATGTCGAGGAGGAGGAAGAAGAGGAGCCCGAGGAAGAGCCTGAGGAGGAGGAGGAGAATGAAGACGAGGAGGAAGAGACTCCAAAGCAAATGACACTGGCAGAGATCAAGGCGGCCAAGGCAGCAAAGAAGGCGGCCAAGCTGGAAGCCAAGAAGGTGAAGGCAAAGAAGAAGCGTGACGCTGAGGAGGAGGACCAGTTCGAGGAGCTCAAGAAGAAGAACGCCGTCGAGATTGACTATGACAACGTGGATATTGACGACATCGAGGGCCGCAACCCACCCGACTTTGTCCATTTGCGCACCAGTGCTGGCCTGCGCAGCCAGATCGGAAACGACATCAAGATCGACAACCTCACCATGTCTGTTCCAGGCAGGATTCTGCTGCAAGGCGCCAACCTGACGCTGGCCTACGGCCAGAAGTATGGTTTCGTTGGCAGGAACGGTATTGGCAAGTCCACTCTTGTCAAGAAGATCGCCATGCGTGACGAGATCACCATCGCGCCACATCTGCGTGTGCTCTACGTCGAGCAGGAGGTCGTCGGTGATGACAACACACCACTGACCTGTGTGTTGAATGCCGATGAGGAGCGCACATGGCTCATGGCTGAGGAGAAGGAGCTCAATCGTCTGGACAATGAGAACCCATCATGGCAGTACGATCCACGCGAGAAGAGAAACTACAACCTTCGTGACATCTACGAGCGTCTGAAGGAGATTGATTCAGACAAGGCACAAGCAAGGTATGTTGTTGTTGTTGTGACGGACAACCATTCATTCGCGATCATACTAACCACATCAATCAAACAGAGCATCATCAATCTTGGTTGGTCTTGGATTCACATTGGAGGAGATCTCTACTAAACCATCGAAGGACTACTCTGGAGGTTGGAGAATGAGAATTGCACTGGCTAGAGCACTGTTCTGTAAGCCAGAGGTGCTGTTGCTCGATGAGCCTTCTAACCATTTGGATCTGCACGCATGCGTGTGGCTCGAGAAGTACCTGTTCTCATGGGACAGGACCCTGTTGGTCGTGTCTCACGAAGCCACCTTCCTGAATGAGGTCGTCGACAATATTATCCACATCCACGATCAGCGTCTCGACCAATACCGTGGCAACTACGACGACTTTGTCAAGCAGCGCGACGTGGCACAAAAGACCACGCTCAACAAGCTCGAGAAGCAGCAGCGCAAGATGAAGAAGGAGAAGGACTTTATCAACGCCAACAAGACCAACACAAACGCCAAGATGGCAGCACAGCGCAAGAAGAAGCTCGAGAAGGTCGAGCTGGTCAAGGTGGACGTCGATGACAAGTCGCTGGTGGTCAGCTTCCCCGAGCCCGAGAGCAGACTGACGCCTCCCCTGTTGCGTTTCCACAACGTGTCGTTTGGCTACCCAGGCCGTCCCGTCATGTTCAAGAACCTGGAGATTGGTGTCGACATGGACAACAAGATCGCCCTGGTCGGAATGAACGGTGTGGGCAAGTCCACCCTCATCAAGCTGCTGGCTGGCGAGCTGTCAGAGACCGAGGGCTACATCGAGCGCAGCAGAAAGTGCCGTGTGGCTCGTTTCTCGCAGCACTTTGTCGACCAGCTCAACACTGATCAGACGCCCATTGAGTACTTCCAGACCAAGTTCAGCAACCCACCCATCCAGAACATCCGCAACCATCTGGGTCGCTTTGGTATCTGTAACAACCTGCCCCTGCACAAGATCACCACGCTGTCGGGAGGCCAAAAGTCGCGTGTCATTCTCGCCGAGCTGGCGTGGGCCGCGCCACACATCTTGCTGCTGGACGAGCCAACCAACCATTTGGACATCGACGCCATTGAGGCGCTGGCCGAGGGCATCAACGAGTTTGAGGGTGGCGTCGTCCTCATCTCTCACAACCAGCATCTGATCAACCTGGTCGCCAACGAGATCTGGGTCGTCAAGAAGAATGGCACCGTCACCAAGTACGACGGAGACTTTATGGACTACAAGGCAGAGATCTCCAGAGAGTTGGACAAAATGGTCGTCAGAAGCTAAACAAGGACTGTTCTATCAGCAGTCTTCTTCTTTCTTCATTATTTCACTTGCAATCATTCAATCAATCAAACAACCAATCATTAAACACCTCCACATTCATTCATTCATTCATTCATTCGTTTATTTCATTCGTTTGTTCATTCAACAGACAACTTTCAGACACCTCATGGGTCAATGCCCAACTCTTGCATCATTGATTGTGGACCTAGGTCGAGTCGACCTCCGCCCCTTATTGAGGGCAGGTACCCCCCAATAAGTGTCGTTTCCTCCGAATGACACCAATCTTCGTCGAAGTTTAGATATTTTGGAAACAAAAATAGATTGGGAAGGGTCCTTTGGTCTATGTGACATCATCGTATTATTATAACCATGAGCTCCAAAACCTATTATCTCTCTGTTCCGGAACAGAGAATTGATTGAATGCCAATGTGTGTTACATGCTTTGGAAGTCACTGATTTGCAAAATTGAATGCATGGATGGACTCTGGAGGATGACCTGATCGCACTCGTTCCCAATCCTAGATACTGAAGACATGGTTTTCAAACATACCCCAGTGATCGTTTGTTAACTTTAGAGTGCGCATAACAATGACAATGATGACAATCTTTGCGAGGTATGTAGCCAGTGTTGACTCAAATGAGGGAAACGTGTGTTAAAGAAGGGGCCAGCCACGTTTCAAAAGGGGTAATGATCATTCACCCTTTAAGGGAGATCAACCTCCAAGGCCCTCGCCTTGGAACATATTCATCTCTCAAACATACTTCATTTAGCAAGGTGAAGTGAATGATCAATGGTTGAGCCATCTTTGTCAATCATCACCGACAGTCAGTCGCTAGAGAGATCCAGAACCTTCGTCGTCATCATCATCTTTATAACCAACAACACAACAATCATATAATATTGATAAACTACTACTTGTCATTTGACTTCTCCTTGTTGCATATGAGAGAGAGAGCATTCAGATTTTCCCATCACTACTTCACAAATATATCTATATTTACTTTAAGTCAGTAAACACGTAGACATCACAATCAAAGTCGTACTTTTATTTGTTGATCATTTGACCAGGTCGACAATAGTATACTATTTATTTAACCAACCAATCAATCAACCAATCAATCAATCAACCAATAATACTTTAATCAATATCAATCACACATCATTATTATTTTTTTTAATATTATTATTATCATTTATTAATTAGTTATTATTATTACCAATGACCATTATTAAGTCCAAGGTTGGGATTATCCCCTTGGCATTCATTGCCATTTTAATTATTATGGCTGGCTGTAATGCAGAGACGAAGGAGGTATCATTAGAGTACAGGACAAAGATTGTGGTTGCTGAGATTCAATCAGCTCTGAGGAGTGATCCATCTTCATTCTATTGGGAACCAGTCCAGTCCGATGCAATTGTGTTTGATCATGTCAATGTCGAGGAGCCCACTATTCCTGTCCAAGAAGAGGACGTTGAATATTATTACTCCCCATCAGTCAATCCATCAGTCAATCCATCAGTGAACCCATCAGTGAATCCATCAGTGAATCCATCAGTGAATCCATCAGTCAATCCATCGACCAGACCTTCTGTCAATCCATCAGTTAATCCATCGATCAATCCATCAGTCAATCCATCGGTTAATCCCTCGGTGAATCCCTCGACCAGACCATCCGTCAATCCCTCTGTCAATCCATCGGTCAGACCATCTGTCAATCCATCGGTCAGACCATCAGTCAATCCATCGGTGAATCCATCTATCAGACCATCCGTCAATCCATCTGTCAATCCTTCGGTGAATCCCTCTGTCAATCCATCGACCAGACCTTCGGTGAATCCCTCCATCAGACCATCAGTCAATCCATCGATCAGACCATCAGTCAATCCCTCTGTCAATCCTTCGATCAGACCATCGGTCAATCCATCGGTGAATCCCTCGGTCAGACCATCGGTGAATCCCTCCGTCAATCCCTCAATCAGACCATCGGTGAATCCCTCCGTCAATCCATCGATCAGACCATCGGTCAATCCATCTGTGAACCCCTCTATCAGACCATCAGTCAATCCATCTGTCAATCCTTCGATTAGACCATCTGTCAATCCTTCCGTCAATCCCTCAATCAGACCATCAGTCAATCCATCAGTCAATCCCTCTGTCAATCCATCGATCAGACCATCGGTCAATCCATCGGTGAATCCATCTATTAGACCATCAGTCAATCCATCGGTCAATCCATCTGTCAATCCCTCAATCAGACCATCAGTCAATCCATCGGTCAATCCATCGGTCAATCCTTCAGTCAATCCATCAGTCAATCCATCGGTGAATCCTTCGATCAGACCATCGGTAAACCCATCTGTGAATCCATCTATTAGACCATCWGTCAATCATC